CCAGAATTGAAAATATCTGACATCATCACTGTACGAGAAACCAGCCCTCCTGGTGAGAGCTGGGGTTACCAGGGCAAATAAATATGGGATGACGCTTAAGAACCAGTCTCATAGGAAAGACAGTACTGTGTTCCCTAGTTTGGGATAACATTTTTGGTTAACGTGTAGGGCAGGAAATGATGGAATCATCTAGCTCCCAAGACAGTTAGAAGCTTCTAGGAACCAAAGATCATATTTGAGGGAAGATTTAAAAGGATGGCTCACTGCTTCCCCCTGGTGGAGACCAGTAGCAAGCACATGAAACGGCTTCCTGAGTCTTCCCTCCACAGGGGAACCCTGAGTCAGAAGCTAGGCTTGTAACTGCACCTGCCCCACGGGAGGTCACAGTCAGATGAGAGAGGAAGGCCAGGAAACTGACAACCACTGTAAGACATGGTCAGCTGGTGGCAGAGCATTCATTCATTTGTTCGTCCATTCATTCATTCATTCATTCAACTAAGTGCAGAGGCTTGGAGGCAGGGGTTGGGCTTGAGGATAAACAGGGATTCACTGGGAAAACAAAGAGAAAGGGAATTCCAGACCGCGGTGCCGGGAGCAAGATGTGAAATGCATGCCTGATCCAGAAAATTCTATGTAACTAACAGACTTAGCCAACAGTTAAGGCTTGAAGGGGAAATGGGAACAGTTGGAGCTCCAAAAGGAAGCCAAATCCTGAGCTTTCTCTGCAACCCATGAGAAGGACCACGTACTTTAAGCCCCTGGTGATTTGCCTGGCCTACATGTGGAAAAAGGTGCATTAATTCAGAAATATTGGGGAGCCTGGGTGGCTCAGTCAGTGAAGCATCTGCTTTCAGCTCGGGTCATGAACCCAGGTTCCTGGGATCCAGCCCCGCATTGGGCTCCCTGCTCAGGGAGGAGCCTGCTTCTCCCACTCCCTCTGATGATTCCCCTGCTTGTGTGCTCTCTCTCTCTCAAATAAAGACTTTTTAAAAAAATTCTTTTAATCCAGGGGCACCTGGGTGGCTCAGCGGGTTAAAGCCTCTGCCTTCGGCTCAGGTCATGATCCCAGGGTCTTGGGATCGAACCTCACTTCAGGCTCTCTGCTCAGCAGGGAGCCTGCTTCCTCCTCTCTCTCTGCCTGCCTCTCTGCCTACTTGTGATCTCCATCTGTCAAATAAATAAATAAAATCTGTTAAAAAAAAAAACTAAAAAAAAAATTCTTTTAATTCAGAAATGTTTACTAAGTCCCTACAGTGTATCAGATATTAATATCAGGCCTGGGAATAAAACGATGACCAGAAAGAGGTCCGATCCTTGCCCTTTTGCAGCTTATGGTCTGGTGAGGAGACAGACGCACATGTTTAAAAAAAAAAAAAAAATCACTCCTCCCAAAAGGTTAAAATTTAAATTAAAATGTGATGAGCAAAAAAAAAGTGGTGAGCAGCCCCGCCGCAGACAGGAAAAGCAGAAGTAAAGTATGACTCCGGGGAAGTTTGGAGCTGGGTGAGTAGATAAGACGGAGTTAGGGGTCCCCAGAAAAATGAAGACAAAATGCAGCTTTCTCAACATCAGAGAAGTCACGTGAGGACCCCGGCTGGTCTATGAGCGATGCCTGGCCGGCACTATTCCCACAAGCACATTTCTCGCAGAACTCCCCGGGATGCATTAAAATTGCAGGGAAAAAAAAAAAAATAGACCTCAACAGTTAATGGTTTTCAGGAAACAAAAGAATGTAAAAAAAAAAAACAAAAAAAAAAAAAAAAAAAAAAACACTCCCAAGCCAGGACATAGTCTGACCACAGCAGAGACAATAAATCCTCAATAAAGCTCCCAGTGCTTTTTCAGAAGTCAAGACTGACCTACTGCCCATGCTTGGGTCATTTTTGCAGGATTTAAACCCCTTTGAGCGCACAAACACGGGACTAAGTGCAGGCAGAGCACCGACGAGCCGACCCGGGCCGGTCTGTGACTTCCACCAGCTAGGAGCTGGACTCCTCTGTCACCTCAGGATGGCTTCTGCCCCAATTCTAGACCAAACTTTCCTTTGCCAAGTACCTCTGTGTATATGCACGCACTGGCAGCTTAAAAGTCCCCCAATTTTGCTGTTCGGAGGGGCTGTGCTCAGCTATCCCCCTGCCTCTTTCCTTATAAACAGTCATACAAAGTTCTTTGCTTCCAACACCTTGGGTTGTGTGACATGATGCATGGCACTGAGTTGAGTGGCTCCCCATGCTGACCTCAGCACCAAGAGCCATAGGATTTTGACAAACGTGCAGGACTTGGCCACCGCTGCCAAAGTCCCAGTGGCCCTAAGGCTGGAAACGGAGCAGGACATTGTAGATGGGATCTGAGCTGCCTAGGAAGGGTCAGTAGAGGCAGGAGGATGAAGGGGAGTGGAATTTGCCACCTCAGAATATATCCCTTTGGCAGAAGGGCTATTTTAGGCTGATTATTTTGAAGAAACAGCAGACAGAGGGGAAGCTCTGGTACCTGAGTAGAAGTTGTACTTTTGTAAGACATTGACATTGATAAGGGAAACCTCCATGGATAAGGGTGTCTCCAACTCGGTATCAGAAGGGTGACTCTTAAATCTCTAGAAACTTCTATCAGTGGAGAAGGCAGAGATTTCTGTACAACCACCTTCCCCTTGTTGATTGTGTTTTTCCTGGTCACCTCCCATAAAGGCCTCCCCCCACTCCCTGAGCCTAACCTTCTCTTTTGACTTTAGCTAGAGATGTGATTTAAGGTGATGTCTTAGGGCTACTCTGAAGAGTTACTCAGTTTCCCCAAGGCTCTTCTACACATACAGGAGGTATGCATGTTAGCAAACCTCTGTTTTCTCTTGTTCATCTGGTGGTGGTCTCATCTAAGGACCCAGAAGGGTAGAGAGAAAAAAATTTTCCCCCACGAGGATCAAAGAGATCCCTGTCTTTCAAACCACGGCTCACAACCAGTAAGTGAGGCGTGACCTGAAAGTGATGGGTCATTACCAGCATCGGGTAAATGATACGGAATGAAATAGAATGCAAAATACCACGTATAGTAAGAATGAGTTTGATGCCAATTCTTTCTTTCACGAGACTCATTTCAGGTGCGTATGTGCATAGGGGTGTGTGTGTACAGAGCTGCCAGGTAAATCTGATTCATTTCTGTACATCTCAACCAAAACTGAAAACCAGCGGATTAGAGGCCCTCACAGGGTCTCGCACAGCCCAGGATGTCACGAAGGGTGAGCGCTCAGCCTCGGGAGGGTGGACAGAAACACCTGTTTTGGGCAGAGCAGGAGGCCAGCTCCACTTAGAAGAACTTCACCAAACTCTGATGGGAAGATATAAACTCGGAAAAGCAATTAAGAACCTAACCTTAGTGCTCACTCCCGAGCATTACATGGGGCAGGGGTGGAGGAGAGGCGAGAGGTAGAAATTGATACAAACTTTCTGGAAAGCTACTTGGTAATGTTCACCGGACTATCTGGGGATATTTGGATTGGGAGGAGAGAGGATGATACCGATACCAGATCAATGAGCTGCCAACATCCTTCAATGAGACCACAGCCTCTGACTCAGGGTCCCTTCTGAGGATGACCGTAGCTTTGGTAAGAATGTGCCAGCAAGAAGGACTACCAGAGGGCGTGCACGGGGGACTCGGGCCAATGACCTGTTTCAAATATGTTCTCTCTTTCATTCCCTGCTACATCTCAGCCCTGCTGGCGCACAGCAGGCAGGAAATACCTGTTGAATGTTCATGCTGAACCCAGCAAAGGCTTCTGTGGCTAAGCAGCAGCCTCACTGTTCCAGACTGAGGTTCTACAGTGACACCTAGTGGCGGAAACCGAAACAACCATGCCGATGGACCAGATTTAGCTCATGTTTGCAGAGCGGATCCCTTCCAGCTACAAAGGCCCCAGAATTTGTGGGGGAATCATGAGGCTAGAGAGAAGCAGGGAGACTCAAAAGGAGCTAATAGCGGCAAATGGGGGTTTGAGCGATTAATGGGAAAGGGCAAAGAAAGATGATGTGAAAAAGAAAAACAAAAAACAAGCGTCCGATGTCTAAGGTGCACACTGATTCAGTCCCTTAAGCGACCGACTCTTGATTTCCGCAGAGGTCTTGATCTCAGAGTGGTGAGTTCAAGCCCCACATGGGGGCTTACTAAAACAAAACAAAACAAAACAATCTCCAAAAGGAGTCTTCACCCTCACAAGACAGCAAACCCAAACTTAAGAAGTTTTAACCTCTGAGGAAACAACCCTCTCTTTTGTTTTGCTAATAACTCCCGTGCCTCACCCTCTGGCCTATAAAAACGACTTGTCTGCGTGCTGGAAGGGATTCTGGCAGATTCATAACTGATCTCCCACTCATTCAGCTGAAAATTTTTTTTTTAACAATTTGGATCCCAAACTGATAAAACAAGTCACAGAGGTTATTTAATGGGGGGGGGGGGGGGTTGTCTCAAAATGTGCATGGATAATCCTAATTATATTGTTTAAAAATAGCACTCATATACCCATCTGTCTGGAAGACTTACACCAAAACTTTTTACCAAAATGACAACGGTAGGTTCCCTAGAGGGCAGAGCCTAGGATAGTTCTTTTCTTTTTGTATATCTATTTTTCTGCTTTATTTTACAATGAGAGTCTATTGTTTATGTAAAGAAAATAAGAAGTTAGCTGCATGTGGACCCAACATGCAAAGGCACTTAAGAATGTCTAAGGTACCAGTACCCTGATCAGCTCTGCACACCCGGATTTCCAAATCTGGGCCATTATTATCCAGAACCAAATGCCCTACCAGCTCAGCACTCCCTTGAGCACGAGATTCCAAGAGGTGCCTTCACCCCTTCCGGATTCGGAATTCCCCTCTTTGGGGAATTTGGGGAATTTGGTATTTACCAACCAAAGCTGACTGTCTCATCCTGGCCTGCAGCTCAGGCGCAGAAATCTGGAGGAACTAAGGACGACGTGTTGGGGACGAGCCTCCGTCCCCAGGGCTGATGCTCACCTGACATGTGGACATTCCGCAGGCAGGTCAGGGAGGCATTGAGACGAGCGCACTCCTCTCGGTTGGCTCCGTATTTCTCCACGGTCTCACACACCTGCTCCTCTGTCATCTCCAAGAGGTCCTCCAGACTCAGCTGGCCGGGGGTGATCTCCTAGAGCCAGGGAGAAAAAAGGATGGTGAACATATCTCAGGGGCCCAGAGGAGGGTGAGAGCGGGCTGAGCCTCCACACTGCCGCCTAGCGGTAGCTAGGGGGTACAGGCCTAGGTTTGAATCTCCGCTTGGCCACTCATTACCTTCGGCAAGTCACTTAACCTCTCCGGGAGCCTCACTTTATTCACCTGTACAATGGGAGTCTTAAGTGTTCATACTTTGTAAAGTAGCCCCTATCGTTAGCACACAGCCAGTACTCCATAGATGGTGGCAGTTAATTATATGTCCTCCCTGAACTCCTTATGGGCAGTCTCCAATTCCCTTGTCTTTGGATGGCCCTCGCTCAGCTTAGCTTTCCCCCAATACAGGGTGATCTCAGAGCAGAGCACACTGGATAGGCCAAGTCCCTTGATGGCTGTCCTCCCCCGCCACACCCGTCTAGATTGGGGGTTTAGGAACCCTAAGGGGTGGTAAGTTGGAACCTTATGGGTAGCTCGGTGCTGGAAATGCTGGAAATGAACCTGGATTTTCTTCTAAGCCCAACGGGGCAAGGCTGTGCATTCTAAGACAAAGTGGTAAGACTGGAGTATAGCATGAGGTGGGGACAGGGACACCTCTGGAGAGATGGACTGAGAACAGAAATGGTAGGATTGCCAGCTACAAATGTCCCTTCACCACCAGCAGCAACCACTCCCCCTGCCCCCCATTTCCCAAAATGGTGTGTCCCGGGACACCATGAAATTTGTCAGACTTTGATATTTATGCATCTTTATGCATTTATGCATATTATGCATCTATATCCATATATAATATATATAATAGATAGACTTCATTTATAGCAGTTAATGGCATTCGATGTTTTTACACACATTATTTAAATAAGAATTTTAGACACCTAAAGATGGAGAGTCTAGGACAATATTGTGGTATACTTCTGCCCTCTTGTGGCCACATCTGTGTATTACAACAAAATCTGATACCTCCCCCCACACACACACCCCCGCCACCCCCTCACCAACCCCCAATACAGACATTTAACGGGCAGCCAGAAGGAGGAAAACTTCTTTCTCCGCTCAAAACAGATGCAGGGCAAAGGCCATGAAGCCAGATCAGTGCCTTTCCAACTCACTAGGGCAGGGAGCAGGAGAAAACAACACTTGAGTCATTTCATTTAGGGCTTTTCTCAAATAGGGACACATGGCTCAATAAAGTCCACTTTAAGAAAAGTGATGGTCCAGGAGCTGAGGGTACAAAACAAATCACATTTAGAGGGACTCACTCACAACCTGAAAGATTTCTCCTCTTTGCTGCAGACTTCACTTGTGCATTTCAATTCTATCATTTACTCTCCAAATACTCAAATTTCCCTGAAATTTGGGGTCACAGAAAAAAAAATCACAGAAGTAATAACGACATAAAAAAATGGACAAAGCCTAAAGAAACCCTGACTAACAGAGCAGATTCACTTCCGTTCAATAAAGTGATAATAATAAACGAAAATGAAATGAATGGTGCGCTGTTTTAAGTGTTTTGGGGGGGGGCTTTCTTTTAATGTCACAAAGACCCCGTAAAGTAGTACTTTCATCATCATCATTGGTCTGTAATTAGGACACTAAAATTCAGAGAGGTTAGACCACTTGCCCAGGGATGCACAGCAAGGAAGTCTGAACCCAGGCTGTTACTTGGGAGCCTTGGCCCTACTGCTGGTTCCTTCTCGGAAAGGGGCCCTCTGGTGGACGCAGGCGGGAGCTGCAGGCAGAGAGCTGGAACCTCAGCGTTCCCTAGTTGGTGGTCTCAGGATTCTCACAGACTAAGGTAAGAGCCAGAGCTGGGGCACTTGCAGGCCAGGTAAATGAGCAAAACTGCCAACTAGCCAGAGCCTGCAGGATCCGAAGGGGCAGCAGAAATCAGGTGACTGCCACTGGACGGGAATTCAGCTCAGTGTGCTCAAAAATTTGGCTTTTTCAAGAAGGCAGAGATCTGAGGGTTTTTTTTAATGCAAACTCTTTAAGCTTCTAAATATTGGCTCAAAAATTTTTTTTGCAAACACCGTATCAGACAAAAAAATGTCTGTGCATCAGATTCAAGGAATAGCCTGGGGCTGCCAGGTTTCAACCCCTAGCTGAGAAGATTTTGTCTCTGTATTCACCACACTTGATAAATAAACAGTCCCCAAAGCCTCTAAAAAGGGGACTGGCCAGTGCAAATAAAATGAACTGTCCGTAGTTATATGTGACCTTTCATTTTAAGGCTATTCACATGGAAACTCCATCCTGGGAATGAAATAAAGGAACATAGAATCATTCACCATCCAGTGCACATGTGTGCGGTGCAGGGGCAGGGACGGAGGAACGTGTGGGTCCCCTATCCAGCTCAGCATCTGGTGGGTTCTAGGCGAGCTCACATTAGAGGTCAAGGGCTGAAAAAGACAAAAGGTGGAAGACAATCTTCTAGGCCTCTTTAAGCCAGAAGAAGGGTGCACCGTGAGAAATGGTACTTGGTCCTGCGGGCAAGGGGAGCACCCCCTTGTCTACCCAGCTCAGCGAGTCCCCAGCAACAGAACAAGGAGGAGAAAGCACAGAGCTTCCCACCTGCCCCAGAGTCCTTCTGAGCTGCTTTCTCCTGTCAGCCCCATCCACTCCCTAGCAGGGGAAGTCGCTTCATCTCGGAGCGTCAGATTCTTGCTCTACACAAGGGGGATCATTGTCCCCACCTCCAAAGATCATTGTGAGGGTCTGAAGCCTCAATGGTTGAGATCCTGGCTATAAAGCCCTTAGGACAGCTCCTGGCCCCAAATATCCAGTGACCGGTTTTTATGAGGGCTGGACTGGTCCCTGGAAACAGTGAGGCCTTGGGATCCAAGAAGGTAGGGAAATCTCTTTGCCCTTGAGGTTTTAAGGATATGGTCCACTCTGGTTACTTCCAGAGCTTTCAACAGTAAGAATAAGCTGACATTTGCCGAATGCTATCAGGTGCCAGACTGCGTGGAACATTTTGGATGGATCATTGCATTTTATCATTCTAGCCACTTCAGAAGAGGAGGCGATCATTACCCCCATTAACAGATGAGAAAACTATACAACGGAGTATTATGCCTCCATCAGAAAGGATGAATTCCCAGCTTTTGTATCAATATGGACGGGACTGGAGGAGATTATGCTGAGGGAAATCAGTCAAGCAAAGAGAGTCAATTATCATATGGTTTCACTTACTTGTGGAGCATAAACAGTAACACAGAGGACAAGCGGAAATGGAGCGGAGAAGTGAGTTGGGGGAAATTGGAGGGGGAGACGAACTATGAGAGACTGCGGACTCTGAGAAACAAACTGAGGGTTTTGGAGGGGAGGGGAGTGGGGGATTGGGTGAGCCTGGTGGTGGGCATTAAGGAGGGCACGTATTGCCTAGAGCACTGGGTGTGGTGCATAAACAATGAATCTTGGAACACTGAAAAAATAAAATAGAATAAAATAAAATAAAATGATAAAATAAAATAAAATAAAAACAGATGAGAAAACTAAGACCCTCAGTCCGTAGTGCCCACTATGGTGGCCACCAGCCACATTCATTAACATTAAATATAAGTAAAAATTCCATCCATCAGCCCCAGGCACTAATCACAATCCAAGCACTCGAGGGCTCCCTGGGATTGGAGGCCAATGCAACAGAGGGCACAGATACAAAATATCTGCATCACCACAGAAGTTCTGCTGGACAGACCCGTTCTAAAAGGTAACGTGACTCAGCCAAGGTGACTGAGCTAATGAGTAGCAGAGCCGGAGGAAGATGGGGCTGAGCGTAGAACCACGCTCTTAACAACCCACTTGGACAGCATCAGAGATCCTCTATACCTTCGTCCAACACATTTTTTTTGAGGGCCTACTATGTGCCGGGCACAGGCAAAAACACACTGGTTTCTGTCCGATCAGGGGCAGGGGGCAGGGGGCCGTCTCTGGTCACCTCCAAGACTTCCTTGCGCACGTCGACGATCCGGAACCAGTGGCGGAGCTGGGGGAAGCCGTCCAGCTCAGCGTTGCGTTCCTGAAGGGCCACCTTCTTTTTGCAGGACAGCTGACGGCTGAAGTACTTCACCAGCTTGCTCTGTGGAGACACAGGTGAGGACAAAGAGAGGGTCTCAGAGGCACAGCCACGGGAGGAGAAGCAGGAACCTCCCTACGGCCCTCTCCCTGCCCGAACCCCATCCAACGCCTGTTCTAAAGATGGATTTAACTGCAGGGAGGAGGGGCAGGCAAAAGGTACCACTTTTTCAGGGGGTCATGTACAGTCACGTACATTTCCACTGCACAGATTCTTGGACCCAAGGACTCTACTTCTAGGAACTCACCTACAGACGCCACACTGGGCCAGATGACTGTAAAAGAATATTTCTTCCAGTTCTCCTGGCAATGGCAAAAGACTGAAAACACCTTGAGAGTCCATCAACAGGAGACTCATCTATCCAGGGAATTTTACACAAGGGAGCGCTAGGCAGCTATAACAAAATAAGGAAGCGCGCTATGTACCCGTACAGAACCATGTCCAAGATACACTGTTATACAGAAATACTCTCCAGGCGTGAGGGCGATGTCAATGTCTACGTTTATGTATCTTTGTAAATGCAGCCATTCTCTGGGAGGATTTCTAATAATCTAGGAAAGGGAAGAGGGACGTGGGGAAGAGGTGTGGAAGAAACATTTTTTGTTTCTTACTTTTTTTAATTTGTACTTGAAGTAGCGTGAACACACTATATTATATTAGCGTCAAGCGTACAACCTGGGAATTCAACGATTATATACTCGATGCAGGGCTCACTACCAGCAGCAGAGAAGCACAATGACATTTGTCACCACATCAAGTTATTTACAAAGGTATTGACCCTATTCCCAAGGCTGTAGTTTTCAGGGTGTAAGAGGTACAAGCTTCCGGTTGTAAAAGAAATAAGTCGCGGAGATGAAAAGTACAGCAGAGAAACATTTCACAGAAATCCTTTTGTACTCCGTGAATCTGAACTCGCATGCATATATTCACAAATCCACAAATGCTTTTAGAATGAACTGGACATGAACTCATGCTATGCAGAGATGCCATGACACGAGAAAGGAAAACTAGTTCTGTAAAAACTAACAACATCTGGCACACCTCTGTCACTTACAATGTATTTCTAAGGACAGTGTTGCTGTAGGGTTTTATCCTAAAGAGATAATTAAGAATATTCACAAAGCTTTGCTCTAAATCGAAACTGGCCACGAAAAAGCGGAGAACCACCCAAACCTTCCGCAATAGGGGATGATGTAAGTACATTACAAATATATCTATATGATGGCATATCATTGAAAATAATGTATAAAATATGTATAATTTACAAATAATACATTAAAAATTTATAAAACTATATGTGTACAGATGCACAGAAAAAGCCTTGGGAGGGTATATAACAAAATATGAGCAGTAGCTATTTCTGAGAGTAAGATTATAGGTGATGAAGATAACTCAGATTAAGAATTATTGTAATTAAGATTATTAATAAATATTAAGATTATTGATAGAGATTTTTTTCTATTTGCTTCTCTACAACAAAATTAGAAAATACAAGATATATATATATATATAAAATCTGCTTATTAATGGGAAAATGTTCAGATGGGCTTGGCAACGTTTCTTTAACACTGAGACTATCCTGGTGTCAGCAAGAATGAGAGAAACCATTGAGAATTGAGAATGCCACTGGCGGGCAATCCGATTTTTGTCTCAACATTTTAATATTCTCACTTTTATGAAACCACTCTAAAAAAGACTTATTTGTGTGTGTACGTGGGATAAAGGCTGGCTCATTACCGCAGCATAATAATTTTTAAAAACTTGAAAAGGTAGACTGATACATATTGAGTTGGGAAAATCTCTAAGATTTTCATCTTCCATGAAAAAGCAATCTGCAAAGACAGCATATACTGGGATTACATTTGTATTTTTAAAGCTCTGCATGTGTTGGGGCACCTGGCTGTCTCAGTCAGTGGGGCACACGGCTCTTGATCTCAGGGTTGTGGATTTGAGCCCCATGTTGGATGTAGAGATGACTTAAAAATAAATTCTGGGAGCACCTGGGTGGCTCAGTGGGTTAAAGCCTCTGCCTTCAGCTCAGGTCATGATCTCAGGGTCCTGGGATCGAGCCCCACATCGGACTCTCTGCTCAGCGGGGAGCCTACTTCCCTCTCTCTCTCTGCCTGCCTCTCTGCCTACTTGTGATCTCTGTCAAATAAATAAATAAAATCTAATAAGTAAATAAATAAATTCTCGAAAACAAGGTTTAAAAAGGCACGTTAACCGAGGGGTGCCTACGGACACAGTCGGTTAAGTATCTGACTCTTGGCTTCAGCTCAGGTCGTGATCTCCGGGTGGTGAGATCCATGCCACATAGGGTTCTGCGCTCAGCATGGAACCAGCTTGAGATCTTCTCTCTCGCTCTCATTCTGCCCTCCCCACCCCGGCTCTCTCTCAAATAAATAAATAAAGTATTTAAAAAAATAAAAAGGTACATTAACCCAAAAATTAAGTATGAATGAATTCCAGCCCATCCATAGGACAGAATCCTATATAAACTTTCATGTGGTGCATAAAACAATGAATTTTGGAACACTGAAAAAAAATTTAATTTAATTTAATTTAAAAAATAAATTACATTATGAATTTAAAAGCAAAAAAAAAAAAAAAGTAGATTTTGCTATGAAACTTGTCTCCAGCAGTTACCACTTTCTCTTTCAATTCTAGTAAGTTCGAGGACAGAAGAGATCTCCGAATTCTAACTTCCTTCACCATGCAGAAAAGAAACTGTGGCAATTAACAGCAAAATGAATCTCTCAGACCCTGAGATCGTGCCATCTCTTACTCGCAGTAAGTGTGCCCAGCAGACTTGCTTCCTTTTGCACTGATTTAAATTGAGGGCTTATTAGTAAATGCAAAAATAGAAGAGCACACCGTGAAATGTGTAAGTCTTAGCTAATAAATTAAAGTTAACCTGTGTCAAAATATATATTCCTTAACAAATGTATCCTTTCTCCAACGTTTAAAATGTACAGTTACACTGCAAAGAAATACTTTTAAGTTGGATTAAACTAAAAACTGTCTTCCTGACTCATTATTTAAATCCTGATTCTGAAATTCATAGGATTTAAATCGAACCAACTTACAGAAATTGCTTAAAAGGAATACATGCTTATTTTATTAACAATATCTATAAATTTGGGATTTCTGCTAACTGAACTTCCTCAAGCTTTTCATCTAAATAAATCAAGTTTTTCTGTTTATTATTTTATGCTATATAGGCCCGTGTTGAATTTCAAATATGGTAAAAGAAATAAGAATGTGGCTTTTTTTTTTTTAAGATTTTATTTATTTATTTGACAGACAGAGATCACAAGTAGGCAGAGAGGCAGGCAGAGAGAGAGGAGAAAGCAGGCTCCCTGTAGAGCAGATAGCCCAATGTGGGGCTCGATCCCAGGACCCTGGGATCATGACCCGAGCCGGAGGCAGAGACTTTAACCCACTGAGCCACCCAGGCACCCCAAGAATGTGGTTTCTTGACATAAATTAAAAAAAAATGTAGTTTCTTAAAGGAAGGAAGGAAGGAAGAAAGCAAGCACTGTCAAAGAGAGCCAGTGACATCCTATCTCTCAAACATTTTTTTTTAAGTTTTAATTTATTTAAGTATGCTCTACACCCAATGTGGGTCTTGAATTCACAACCCCGAGATCAAGAGTCACACGCTCCACTGACTGAGCCAACTAAGTGCCCAGTCTCTCCCACTTTTGATTAAGCATTCATTATCACAGAAGACTGCAAAACCGGACTGAGGCTGGATGGGGCCAAGGAGCCATGCCATGACCCTGCTCAAACACCCACTCTTGAAGGACAGATCGCCCAAGTATGGGTCACACCAATCACTGGAGGTATGGCACTGAGTGACAATGTGTTATATCAAGGAGACGGTTTCTGTACAGCGATGCTATGTCTTTAACACCTAGCATGTGCTGATCTCTCTCTATAACAGAGAGCAGGACACAGACTCATAGCCTTGGACAGGTAACAATAGTGAGTGCGATGCAATGACCCTGGGGTTTTTCTGGTTTGCCTGTTGTTGTTTTTTAAAGGTTTTATTTATTATTTGTCAGAAAGAGGGAGAGCACAAGCAGTGGGGAGGGGCAGGCAGAGGCAGAGGGAGAAGCAGGCTCCCTGCTGAGCAAGGAGCTCAATGCAGGACCCCATCCCAGAACCCCGGAGATCATGACCTGAGCAGAAGGCAGACAATTAACCGACTGAGCCACCCAGGAGTCTTGTGATACAACTGTTTTTATTGTGTTAATTTTCTTGATTGCCTCCCATTCATGGCAAGTGATACTAGTTTTCCATTACAATAGTTGCATAAGGTTTGTATTTTTTTTTAAGATTTTATTTATTTATTTGACAGATCACAAGTAGGCGGAGAGGCAGGCAGAGAGAGGAGGAAGCAGGCTCCCCGCTGAGCAGAGAGCCGGATGAGGGGCTTGATGCCAGGACCTTGGGATCTCGACCTGAGCCGAAGGCAGAGGCTTTAACCCACTGAGCCACCCAGGCGCCCCACATAAGGTTTGTATTTAAATACATGTGCGTTTTGAAGAATTGAGTCGGTTTCAAGAACATACACAGACACGGCAAAAAGCGCGGTCGTGGTGTCAAACTTATGAGTTGGGGAAACGCTGTTCTATAGGATATCATTCAGACTCAGACGTTATTCAGGGCTCAGCTGTAGTCCATTTCTTCTCCCTTGCCTCCTTCTTTTCTGTGTGATGCCCTGAACACATCACCTCAAATGTGCCCCTTCTATGATTTTGCCCAGGTTCCCCCATCTAAAAGTGCTTTCCGTACCCACATGTGGTTGGCTGTGAAGATGCCCTGATTCCTCTACACCTCCTTCACCCATACTCTTTGAAATGTGCCTTCAGAATTCACTCACAAGGGGTGCCTGGGTGGCTCACTGGGTTAAGCCTCTGCCTTCAGCTCAGGTCATGATCTCAGGGTCCTGGGATCGAACCCCGCATCGGGCTCTCTGCTTGGTGGGAGCCTGCTTC